TTGCTCAGGCGGTACATGTAGCCGCAGCCTTTCTTAGCGATAGGTCACTGAATTAACACAGAACAGTACGAAGCAATCAAGTCATGAAGCCTGTTATTTTGGAGTTGATGTTTATTAGCTGCTGGCTTGCACTTTGTTTCACTCAAGTATTTTACAACAGGGACTATCATCATCACGCCGTGTAAACAGGTTTGCTACTTTCATAAGGGCCTCTTTAGGTTTTGAAGCATTTTACTGCTAAATTCTGGAGCGTTTAAACCGAGCTACATTTAACAACGTGGAACCCCTATCACCAGTAAGGCTGGTAAATTTCATGTGGTCAGATGATGGAATCTTTCTTGGTCGGGTCTGGTGCGTAAGTCTTGTTGAAAAGGTTTTTATGTCCTTCTTATAGGTCCTTATTGAGAGATTAAATTGTGGGCTCCACATCAGTGATAAATCTCAGCCAGGTGTGGGGTGGGACTGGCGGGAAGAGCCATCAATAAAAAGAAGGACGGCCATTCCTTGTCAGGCAGGAAGCAATGGAATAAACAAGTTGTGGGAAAAACAGGGCTGCCCTTTCTAGCAAAAGTGGTTTATTGACTTTTATTTAAATGAGCGACCTTTTGTGCAAGTGTAAGAAATGAGGCGTTGGACCATGCCACTGCATGCCATGGCATGCCCTGTATTGCAGCAAAGGGTATGGAGAAATTTTTTCTGTCCTCTTTTAGGTTCCTAAGTGTGACTATCAAAAACTGATTTGGATTTCTCTTTAACCTTCAGTGATGTGATGTTACGGCTATGGTATTTGCTCTCAGACCTTAATGGCTGGAGCGTTGGTGATTTTTATGGAACTGATTCCCTGACTGCATTTTCTTGCCAAGTGTATAATTTGTTTAGTCCCCTTTGAGAGAGGCTTGCTCATTTCCTTGCTATCATGTTTCTATGTTGGAAGAATAATAAATAAAATACAATCTAGACACTGTGTTACTCATATGTTGGTCCAACCGCTTATCAGCGAGATTGCAAAGGATATGACTGACAAATGGTCTCTCAGGTCTCTCTGTCCCTTCTCTATCTATCTCTATCTCTTTTCATAAACAAAACAAAGTGTACAAAACATATTTTATTTCTTTTTTACCGTGCTGTTCATTCATACATCACAGTGACACCCTGTATGCAGTGTTTTGTAGCATCCACTCAGAAAAATCCCTGCATTGTTAGTGATGGCAACCCTGAGACATACATACATTTTGATTACACCTCCTCTGGTAGTAAGTGGTCATTATAATATTTATAATGCATCGAAATGACAAGCAACATTTCTTTAAGTGGATTCTGAATTGCGACGTTGCTTTAATTCTAGAGAAAATATGTCAAACAGCAATTCATGACCATTATGTGAGAGTGCGATGATGCTGGAGAATAGCGGCTGAATTCAGACTTTCACAGAGTGAGAAGAAGCAGCCTGGCTGCCACAAAAGGTTGATTTTTCTTGTAGATAATCACGCTCAGTGGAGGAAAGGCCTTGGCATTATCTAATTGTGAGTGCACAGGATGTTGCATTAACCCCCTTAAGCCCTCTTGGTTGTAATTGCTAATCTGCAATAATGTGGTTGTTGTCAACAGCAGATTGTCAGAAGTTTCACTACACAAAGGCTTAAATGCATCTCGAATAAGAGAATGATTATTAATCATTTATTTTGGTGGGGGGAAAACACTCTTGAAATTCTAATGTTAATCTCTGTTTGTTCTCTTCGTTTGAACTCGGCAGTCACACAACTTGAACCTGGAACAAGTGGTGTAATACCTTTTCTAAATATTCTTGCCAGACCACTTTGTCTTTATTTAGTTTGGGCCCATTGTGGTATCAATAACAAGTAAATTTGATTCACTCTAAGTACCAGTTTCATCTTCCACAGAGAAATCTTAGCAGTAAACAGACTCTTGCAGACTCTTTTTTTAAACCACTGAAGTTCACTTGCCCTTGAGAGTGGCCCTTGAGCAGTTGCTCCACATTAATGACAGCAGTAGTAGAGCTGAGGACCATGTTGGATCTTGTCGTGACCTTATTTACACCTCAGGGAGTAAAGAGGATAATTAAATAAGTAGTGTAAGTACAGCTCCCAGTTGTGACCGTATCATTCCTCTCACGTTCAGCTTCTGTCAACTCAACTTCCTTGATGAAGAAGCTGTTAAGGCAAGAATATATACCTTCTACCATGAATATTGAGATGGAGTATTGTTTGTCTGTAAAATCAATATGAATATATCAAAGCACTTCTTGTTTTTCACAGATAGACACTTTGAGGTTTTGTTCTCAAATTAGGTCACATGCATTTAATGGTATAAAAGGCTGAGTCTAAATTAAATCTCTTACTTTATTTTGTAGTCATAGCATACAAGTGGAAATGCAGACCTGGCATATTTTCCACTCGCTGTCACAGAAGGAACAGAATGTTGCTTTGCTTGCACTCATTAATCTAAAATAGACCAGACAGCATGTAAAGAAGGTTTTTTTTCTTGTTCTTCTTGCTACTTCTGCTTTTTTCTTGCCTATATTTACCTAACATTCATATTAATGCATCACAAGAAGAGCTGTGTCCATTGTTTAAAAATGTATGAATGAATTTATCTGTGAGTACTTATAATTTAATGTTGTATACCTTGATCAGGCATGTACTTGGTTATAAGCCTCATATGTTGTTGTCAGGTCTACCTCTGATTAAATCGTAGTTTTGTACAAGTTGATGACTGAAAATCTGTGTTTATTAAAATTTAAATGAATTTAATCAATCCATATTAGCAGAACTACTTTTTCTGATGAACTTATGTGTTACACCAATGTCTTCCAAAGCTTAAGAAATAATTTTATTCAATTTACTTTTTGGCGTGGAGCCACAGAGAGTAACCCAGATACAATCCAATGCAAACCACTAAATCTGGTGGGTAATGCACAAAGACAAAGTTGTTGTAATTCTTGTTAAGTGCCCCAAGACTGTTCACATCCGTTTGGTGGAGAAAGTGATTGGTGTCAAGTCGTATTGGACCATTATTTTTGTGGTGTGGTGTTAAATGGGCCACAACACCTCAAATGACGTAGGTGTGGTAACTTGGTAACTGTTTTTAGAATTGTAATGAAAAAGAAAACCGTTGGACATCCAACAAGATGTTGTTTTCAAGCACAGTGTCACTATAGCAACCGCTGACACTTTCAGGTTAAAGCCACCAGTCAGTCAACAAACTAGTTGATCTTTAACACAGGCTGTCTGACTCCCCACTCCATCTTTAATTGACTGCTTCCTCTCCTCCACTCTTCCTCCATCAGCGTTTCTTTTTGTCTCCTGTCTGCCAAAACTACCACATCTTGTTGGTAACATGAATTACGTTTTCAGTGGCTCACACTAATTAGTCGTTACTTGACTGTTGCAATTACACTTGGCAGAGATGCATTTAGTTTTAACACTCTTGAAAGGGATGTTATTGTTGTTGACATGATCAAGTTTGGTTAAAATTGGCACAGAATTTCAGCAAGACTTTATTAATGTAGAAAACAACCCAAAAGAAACCATCTCTATACTACAGATGGTAAAAAATGTACATTATACTTAAAAGAAAGGAAGCTGCAAAGTGAATACAGTGTGGTGAGTCTGACTGTGAAAGAAATGAATGCTGAAACCAAGTAATAACGCGAGTAACAAATTGATGAGCCCACAAAACTCTGCAGGTCAATGAACGGAAATCATGTTCACAAATTACCACAATTAGCATTTCTGTATCACAGGCCAACCATTCACAGCAGCAAGAGTCATGGTTCATTAGAGGTCATTTATTGGCCTCTGAGATAGGGCTTGATAACTCTGTGGATGACATGTCACTGGCATCCTGCCTTCCCAGTCTCTAGGCGTTATTTAACCTTTATCCTGTTAGAGCAAGCGAAAAAGCCTTTCACTTTAAGATTGTCCTGACAAAGACGGAGGATCGCATCTCCAAATGCTTTTCATATGGCATAGAATCAGTCAATTATTATGAAGCAGTGCAGCGGTCCAGGATTAAGTGACTTAGGAGGGCAGCAGACAGCAGCCTCCCTCCCCCTACTTTTAGCCTCAGAGACTTCCACAAACAGCATGTCTTGTCAGGGCTGATTGCAGTGGCACTGGGGCAGATAAGTCAGTCTTACTTTTATCCTGTATAAGCTAGGAGGGCCAAATTACAACTTTAGCCTTAAACCCCCACAGAGGTTACTTTACGAATGTTTTAAGCCACGGCAGAGAATATATGTATAAAGAAAGTCCTAAACTAAAAACATGGATGTCTGAGGTTTGAGCAGCTCACAAAAAGAAGTGTGTCTGATGGGATGCATGTATATATCTCAGTCTGGATTCAGGTTATTGGTTCTCTCTGCTGGCCTTTTATTGCTGTCAGCATCTTCCCTGGCTCATAACTATGATGTTCTGACAGTTTTACAAGAACTGTAGCTTAAATTTATTTCTACCACGCCATTGATTCTTTCACCCTTTCACTGTCATGTGAGTCTAGCTGGTTTAACATTGAGGTGCGGGCAGGGCTCCATTAAAATATATAGATTTTCTCCCTCCTCATGACAGAGACATTTATATCTTGAAACACTAACAAGCACGGACAGTTTTACAATAAGGGCATTATTAGATTAGAAGGTTCAGGCTCAAATGCAAAAGCAAAATGAAAATGGGTAACCTGCAACAATTGCTTTGACAGTGGGTGGGTATGTTCATGTGATTGGATAAGGACAGTCTTGCCTAAAAGATTACCCCAGTGTTTACATTTACATCTGCTTATCAATGTAAACTAATATATTGCTGTATAATATTTAATATAAGGTACTCAGAATAGCTTTAAACTTATTCTAAATCAGTGTATTTCTCTAATCTTTTTCTACTGCTCCCTCCATTCACCACCAATTCAATTTCTCCCAAGCTCCTTACTATGTGATTTATGACTTCACCCACACCATAAATAACAGAAAAAATAAGGCTTTTTACCTTTCCCACATACTGCGGGTCTGACCCCATGTACTCCTCCAGTACAAAGAACTGGTTCCACACCCAGCCCCTCTTGACCCGCTGAAATCCAGCTGCCCCATTCCTCATCGGGCCCACCAAGCTCCTGGCATGCTCCCTCCCCGTCCTGCTTCGTCCCAGCGGCGGTGAAGGTGGACGTAAAGAAGAGACTGAGCCTGCGTTGACAAGGATCCACAGGAACAGCAGCAGGCAGTCCCTTGTTAGCATTGGCGATCTGTGAGGTTCAGGCCCCCAAGTTAAAGTCCAGTGATGAGAGCTGAGCCACGCTGAAACAACTTGTGAAGGTCGTTATGGGGAATGCTCGCAGTAAGACGGAGGGGGGCTGGACCAGATGTGGCGAACCCACAAAGCAGTTTTCCCAGATCTGTCAGGATCCCACTCAGAGATTTATGGAGCTCATCACCTGAAGGAAACAAAAAAATGCATAATTTAAAAAGGGTTTGCAGAGTTACCTCATTCCGCATTAGCTCCATTATTTATCATGCAGTGTGATCTTTCTGATTAGAGACTGTCTTATCGCACATGTGCTCATCATGCACTGTGAGTATGAGGTCTTATAGTCTCAAACATAAAAATAAACATTATATTCATTAGACACTTTTCCTCAAATCATATTAGTCAGATTACTTGTCTTGGTGAGAACAGGGATTTTTTATTTCTTGTCATTTATGTGCCCCCGAACATGCCACAGACCTGTCAGGGTAAGAGCTCTCCTCTGATTGTCAGTAAAGGGTGAAAGTCATGTTTTATTGAATGACACTTTAATGAGAGGATGCAGATGAACTTTTTAGTTTTGCTGCACTTGTCTTAGTATTTTAATGAAACCTTGTTAAAACCCTTTTGAAACTGTTGAATAAAACATACCATTGTTACATCAGCTGCAGGCAACCATTTGATGGTATAGGGCGATGCATTGACAGTTCATACATCAAAATGGCACGTCTGCTGTATGAGGTGTCAGTGCGAAGCACCATGCTCACACTGATTTCTTTTAGATACTTTGCTTTCTCTCAGACATCACTCTGGTGAGGAGCACAACAGATTTGACAGCCGCGGCCACAGGAGATTGTTCCACTTGCTGCGGCGTGTCATCTGACAGACTGCTTTCTGTCAAAAAGCGGGCTCATTCAGAAGATTACCAATATGTAATCCAGCTCACAGATATGCAATTGAATATTTAATTTGTTCTGTCTTTCAGTATGCGTTGTTTATGTCTATACTGTAATTCAGTGGTCGTAACAATGAGCTGTAAATATGGGCAGGTTCACGGCATTGTCATGTCTTGGCTTTGTGTCTGATTTTGCATGCATGAGTATAGCATGAGGGTAGTCACAGAAAAAACATTTCTTTGTGCCTGTCTCAGAACTCATTTCAGATAACTCTAATCGCTGTGTATAATACTTATTTATAACAATAAATGTAAGTTTTAAAAACGGTTCAATTTAGATGCAAACATCCATCAAAGTCTGTCTTTCAGTCATGAGAGCCCAACTAGCTCAGGTATCTTCTGTCAATTTGAAACAAATATTTGTATTTTATTCTAAAATATATTTTTTTGTCATTTTAAAATGTGTAATTATGCAGTTGATGCATAGAAGAAAAATAAATACCATGGAACCTGATGTTGTTAAGCCGTGTTCATTACTGAGCAGACATCTATCACACTGTTCACACCTTGTTTGCATTCCTGGCGACCACATCAACACTCAAGCATCCAACTCTGGACTTGTTAATTGCGCTGACAACAAAAGAAGGGAAGCAAACACAGTTGGATTGAAGAATGGATCTAATGGTTTCCACACCTGTTTTATTGATTCCTCTCTTCCTCTTAATGCACTTGTAAGTTGAACAGTAATGGACGACAGCGAGCTTCTAATTTCATAACCGGAGCCCTCATTGACATCATTTTCTTTGATTAATTGTACAGACTTGGAACATCGGCTTCAGAGGGAGACGGCTTCAACAAGGTTACGCTGTGCACCCGTATCCATTTATTCTCTGTCACCACAGTATCTTAGAAGTCAAAACCGATCTGCAAAGTTCTCCATGCAAAATTGGCAGGAACTGTCTGGACACGGGTCAGACATGCCTCTCCCGCAGGTCACTCCTCATTTAGCATTGACATAATGGAAAATGACTGTTCCCATAATTCCTGCAAAATCATGCGGCTGCCACTGTACGGCCCTGGGAGGGCTTGATGCATATTTTATGAGAAGTTCATTAGCATGTGTCGGGCCTTCGGTTGTGAGCCTTGACCCGCGTGTCTACTTCAGATAACACGACACAGCGGGCTGACAGCGTTCCCACACACCACCTTCAAAAATCAAAGAACATATGGCCGGCCGATCTGCTGGTGTAGACAACCACCCACGAGAGACTCCCCCAGAAAGTTATTAGTCGTCAAGGCTGCCATGAACATGACAAACAAATAAGTAGGCATTGACTTCTAGATTGGATGGGAGTACTGAGTCATCTGGAAAGACTTCTTGTTTTTTCTCGATGTTCATTTCCTGATAGTAATGTGGGCAGAGGCACCCCCCCCCCCACTTTTTTTTTAACAACTGCCGTGTTTTGCATCTAGACGTGTCATTCAGAGGCATAAAAAAGTCATAGTGGTTTTAATAAGGTCACCGATCTGCCTACTCACGGTTTGAGCAGGAATTATTCATTGAGTGAGTTTTCAAAAAGCTTTTGAAATGTTAAAAATGGATGTAATTCTCAATATCTACAGCATAAGGTGTAAGTGTGAAGGATGCTCAGAATGTAATGAGTCGTCACCATTTTGTGTCGGTTTATGTGATGGTTTTTCACACAGAAAATGAAAAAGTCGTCTAAGGATTGATTATGCATCCAAAGCATGTAGTCAAATTGAGAGGAATATGTGAAATTAATATAGATGATTCAGTCATTCATTTTATTGCATAATTTTGCATAATCCAGCTAAAACATTTTACATGATGAGATGATGTATTTGACGATGGGAGATATCCTGGACTCTGATAGCTGGGGTGTGAGTAACAGACTCTGGATATTATCTTGATGAAATTTTTCTCACACAAGGGCATCTTTTTGCTGTTTATCTACTTTTTTAAATACTTTGAGTAAAAACATTAAAGGGAACAAAAATTTGAATTTGAAAAGCTGATCGTTATCCTCAAGTTGAACTCGACCAACACAATTGTTGAATCAGTGTTAATGCATTCATTACAGAACTTGTCTTTAGGCATTTGAGCCATGTCATAAAATACAGAGCAAAAGTTTATTAGTGTACATTTATTTTTGTTTGATAAGCTCATATAGAATATTTTAGTTAATGTCCAACAGCAAAGTTTTGGGGTTTCTTTTAAAATTCAATTAGTCCAAAAGTCATAAAGGTAAAAGAGTGGGTTTGCATTCACTTGTACTTTGTGTTAAATCTTTCATGCATATACAGTATATTCACTTGGTTTCATAAACATTAAATGTGCCAGGCCATCCATCAAAAAATCTGCGATTGAAAGAAAGATAAACAAAAGACTTCAGATATTTATGTGCATATGCATGTACATACAAGTACCAGTGTCACTTGAGTACAGATCATATCATTGTGAACATCTGGTCATAGAAGCAGAAAGGTCTCCTCTCATAACAACAGATTTGTTGATGTTCAGCTCTGTCACCTCAATGATCCCAGTGGTGACCTCTTCTGAACTACAGCTCTGACTGATGAGAAAATATGTGCACTGAGCCGATGATGGAAAAAAAAAAAAAAGTCTTAGTCACTCGGGGAGATCACTGTGAAGACATTTCTTTTGTTTGGCTAAGACTGAAAGACGACTGTTATATCAATGAAATCCTACAGGGGAGGAGTGGGAGGAGAGGAGATGAGGGCGATGTAATGAAAATGGGAGTAACAACACAGCTGGCCAGTCAAGCTGAATTATCAGAGAGCACTTCATGCGTAGGTTATAGCACAAGCACAGTAATGAATAGTGAACAAGGTAGCTTTGTTAATTACTTGTATGCATTTACTTATTTACTTTAGTTTAGCTTCAGCCAGTGTGTCGACTCGGTGTACAAACAATGTGCTTTATCCACATCTGGCAAAGCGTTTTCACAAAGGAACAATGACACCTTGCCTAAATCCGATTTAGGCGAGGTGGCTTCCTGCAGGCCTGTGCACAAAACCTGCATCCAGGAAATGTAGAAGCATTTCTTTCTTTTCTCTCCCACGCACATTATGTGTGGGGAGAGCCAAAGGATGCCTTCAACTCACATCACATCTGGCCCTTTGTTAAACTTGGTGGTGGATATGAAATGCTGTGGGCAGTCATGCTAGGAATATGATGAGTTTTTACCTGGCCAAAGTCACCCTTCAGTGTGTCACTGATGCTGCTCCATCTATAAATATAATAACTTTGTTCCCTCCCACTGGGATTTCCACTCAGACCTTGAAAACAGTGGGTGTGTATATTTCTGAGTTAAAGTCCTAATGCAGCAATGAGACGTTTTCTCTCCTCAAGTTTATCCCACAGAAAGTAAGGAAGAAAAAGGTGTATTTATTTTATATATATTATTAAGGGGTTCAGACCACCAGCACAGCATTTAAAATGAACTTTGCTGAACAATTTCGGCCATAAATAATCTTGGTGTTGGTTGAGAAAAAGAGATGATACCACTGTTGAATCCAAGTTTTTGGAGCCATAGATTTGTCCCGAGGAACACCTCTATCTTTCATTGATTTCATTAGAACTCAAAGACAGGAAGCCAAAACACATTCTTTTAATAGTGACAAATGGCGACGTCTCTTGTTGCCAAGGCTATTTTTGTGATAAATGTGCCTTGATGCTTACTTCACTAAAGTGCTCTGTCAGCAGAACCGGGACTTTGCAGAGGGTTTGAGGTAGTGTTGGGGAAAAGCTGCTTCGAAAGTGTGCTTCTTACAGCCTGCAAATGTTACCCTCAAGAAATCAATTTTTTTTATTAAAAATCAGTAGTTAATTAAAAAATGGTCATTTGAAATATATCACTGAAACGTTTAATCACTGATTTTTAATAGGTTGTTAGAAATTGCAATGTAAAATGCACAGGAAATATTAATGGATCTCTCCAACTCCACCACTGTCATATCAGTAGGTTCTGATTAATGCTAATTCTGCTAGTAAATGGGTAGAAGCCCAAAATGAATTTGTTGACCAGATAAAAGTGAGCAGGAGTCAGTAACTAGTCAAAGAGCTCCAGTCTGGTCTGTGCGTTCAACAACGTAAAAACTTTAGATCAAGTAACTCTTGAAACTCGTCTGCATTGGATATTTCAGTGTCGGATACAGATAAATATGGAAAACATAAACAAAGTCTCACCCTAGGAATCAGCAGATTTATAATGTCAGAGGACTTTGATTCTGGACCAAAATAAGTTGATCCC